AATGAGCAATAGGTTTTATACAGACTTCGACAATGTCGCTCTGATTTCATTGAAAGCCTACCACTTCCGTTATGAAAATCTCCACAACGATCATGAACTGTTTTTCGTGAAGCCGTTCAAACGAAACTACTTGACCATTCAAGTCATTTATACAATTAAACAACGGAATTATACGTCTGAGAATCGTGACTTCGTCGGAAAGAACATGCACGTGATGCCTGAAATGTACAGCTTAATGGTTTGAGAGAGGCCCTTAATTGTGCGTCTTGAAAGACTTTTTCAATCAACCGGTTACGTCTCAGATATTTTCGAAACGAGTACAAATAATGAAATAACAAAGGCTGCTTACTGGTACATCCTGTAGTAACTCTCACGTTCGACTTTCTATTAACCTCGGCATTGATTGAACAATTCTTTCCACTTCTGCTCAGCAAACACGAGGTGCTTTTCCACTTCCCCACTCACGTAAAAGCTGACGTTTCGGCGGATTTCGCCTTCTTCAGAGCCTGGAAAGGTCAAGTTAACAGCAACCTATTCGGCCAAATACCTTCATAACCAAACAGAGAAAACGCTAAACAAAGATTTCAATCACATTGAACACAGCTCCGCACACTCACCGCTTTCTATGAGCCTTCCACTGAGTGTGTCGTGTGAAGACCAACCGCACAGAATTCACCTCGAAGCGTAATGTGCCCCTCCCATCAGAATAACAGTTTTATATACTGCCCTATACCACGCGTGATAATGAGGCACTCTTCCCTGCGGTTCATTTTCGGATTTCTGGAATTAATCCAGAGTGCCTCGAGAGTTTTTCGCGCCTGTGTTCTTGATTCGCGTGCGAGGATCGTGACACATACTTCGAAGTCGTCCCCGTTATGTCTCTGGGTCCTATGCGTGCCTAGCGGGGTATTTGGTTTGTTTTCCGGCTAAGTTTTCTTTTATGCGGACACAGAGGGGTCTGCCCGTTTCGCCAATGTATTCGTCTCCGCACGCCTTACACGAGATCAGATGAACTATACCCGAGCTCATGCAATCACCGTCTTTACCATTGGGGCAAATTGTGCAAATTTGCGTTGCACATAGACGGTCGTATAGGCGGTTACGAACTAGCTGGCGCCTAAAATTATTCCGTGGCATTTCAACCACGTTTACCAAAATCTCTAGACCCGCCCTTCTTAAGCAGCGTTTTATAGCTGCACTTACATCATTTGAGATGAAGGGTAGGATAAACGGGTGCTTTTGTCGCTAGAGTAGCTATTCTATGACCGTCTATGTGCAACGCAAATTTGCACAATTTGCCCCAATGGTAAAGACGGTGATTGCATGAGCTTGGGTATTAGTTCATCTGATCTCGTGTAAGGCGTGCGGAGACGAATACATTGGCGAAACGGGCAGACCCCTCTATGTCCGCATAAGAGAAAACCTAGCCGAAAAACAAACCAAATACCCCGCTAGACACGCATAGGACCCAGAGACATAACGGGGAGGACCTTGAAGTACGTGTCACGATCCTCGCGCAGGAATCAAGAACACAAGCGCGCAAAACTCTCGAGGCGTTCTGGATTAATTCCAGAAATCCGAAAATGAACCGCAGGAAAGAATACCTCATTATCACGCGTGACATAGGGCAGTATATAAACCTGTTATTCTGATGGGAGGGTCACATTACGCTTCGAGGTGAATTCTGTGCGGTTGGTCTTCACACGACACACTCAGTGGAAGGCTCATAGAAAGCGGTGAGTGTGCGGAGCTGTGTTCAATGTGATTGAAATCTTTGTTTAGCGTTTTCTCTGTTTGGTTATGAAGGTATTTGGCCGAATAGGTTGCTGTCAACTTGACCTTTCCAGGTTCTGAGGAAGGCGAAATCCTCCGAAACGTCAGCTTTTACGTGAGTGGGGAAGTGGAATAGCACCTCGTGTTTGCTGAGCAGAAGTGGAAAGAAAGGCTGTTTAATTAATTGCAAAAAAATTAGCGTGATCTATGAATAGTAATTCTGCTATTTTGATGGAATTCGTTGAAGAAGCATTTCTTAACTAATCTCACAGTAACTTACTGAGAATACTTGGACGGCCCGTCCTCACTAATTGTGCTAGCCCCAGCACATTCTTCACTTTTCAAAGTTTTGCTGGTTTAGCCGTTGTATTTCTCTGAAGTCCCGAGGTCAGCCTGGCCAAAGTCTGCCCCAGGTCCTCCTTCTCCCATTCTGTTTGGGAGACCCTGCCGGAGGGATGAGCCCTCCGCTGTACATCGCAACGCGACACCCAGGAACACCTCCCAGCCACGATGAGGCAATAAACCGTTAGGGGGAATCTCACAGTAAAACGAAGAGAATTGCAGATAGCAGACGAAATAAGGCTTCACAAGCATTTTTGCATCAAAAGCGAAATCACTGAAACTTGAAATGCGCGTCGTCTCATGCCTGACACGTTTTGTACCATTTTGCAGTTGGTAACATGACACTCTTTTGCCAACTATACTGATAAACGACTTGATGCGTAGATTACGGTAAAAGCGTCTTAGACTATAGTGAAGTGAAAAAGTTAGCACGTCAGGTGTTCAAGCAGTCCTACCGGACAATTCGCCTTAATCAGCTTCACTTCTACATCGCACCGCCGCTCACGGTGCGATCCTGAACGTTTCATTGAGCAGTGTCCGGTTCCGCTACAGCGATGCTTCGTTTTGTGTGAAGACGTATGAGACCGTAGTGTTGTCCACTGTGCACGTAGCTAAACAACAACAAGTATATAGTATCTAACATATATAGTATCTAATATCCTTATGACCTACTTTCTGTTAACCTCCGCACTGATCAATAATGGTGTTTAAAACGGTGGGTGTTTAAAAAAAACTGTTCATTATGTGAGTGCATTTTATGTGTTAAGCCTTATCTGCTAAGGTGGTGAAAGTGTTTGGCCGAGTAGATTGCATGTCAACTTGACCTTTCCAGGCTCAGCAGAAGGGACATCGCCGTAACGTCAGCTATTGTGTGCTAATGAATTGAATGGTGTCAACTTACTGTTTGCTCATTGGAAAATAACAGTGAATTATCTAAAATCCACGTAGGCTTTTTCTCCTACTTAGTTACAGCTATACAATCAGGGAATCCATACGAGTAGTTCGTAAACAATATCTAAGCTAAATTACTGGGTACGAGCAGATTTCCTTGAAACGACAAGTCCACAGAAATAGGATTTATTTGTTCGTTTTATAGATATTCGTACATAACAGCAGTGTGATGCTAGTATTTATACGGCTGCGGATAAGTGGTCAAAGAAAGAGAGTCGTGATCAGTGTTCCAATTCTGTGTACATGTCCTGACCACAGCACTACTTATTGTACCGGGATGAGACCTCATGAACTCTTGTAGGTTCAATAATCATTTGGTATAATCCAAGTTTCAGTAGTTTTCATCTTTTTCACGGCAAACGACGGCGTGATAGTGAGTGAAGACAACGTAGTAAAATAGTCAATCTAGGGTTTCTAATATAATAGAGGAACACGAGTAACGCAGTGGTAAGAATGTTGTTCAATACGCGCAAGCAGCTGGTTCTATCCAACAAGCAGGCAATTAAGTCGGACCATGCCGGAGGCGGGAAAGTGGTACCCAGACATATCGGCGGACATATCCTCTGGCTGATTCAGTCTGTCGACTGCCTAAGAAGAAGCACTCGGAACGCCTTAATGGGCGTCTCTGAAGTTTATAGAGAGAATTTACTCGACCAATACGACATCAAGGAAAAGACGAAAGTCGTCAAGCAGCAACCGAATGAGTAAATGCTTCCTGGGCAGAGCATGCTAGGAGAAGGGGCGAATGATAGATGAGCTGGGATCTGCGCAATATATATGTATATAATGTCGAGCTGTGTGAAAATGATAAAAGATAATAAAAATGATACGACAAATTTAAAGAGTAGAAAACGTGATGCCACTCAAATTCGGATCTATAAATTAATAAACGTGAGATTTCGGGAGACATTGTAGCTCGGCAATGACGCGTGTGGCGCACTGGTCGGTCGGAAGAGCCCTGCGACACACATATGGAATCGATTCTGCGCCCAGTGCCCACCAAGCCTTCCATCCCTCCGGGGTCGGCCAATTTGTACCAAACTTGTCCGGGAGGATACCAGCACTGGTGCGATACATCGGTAGGCCACCGCGAGTCATTGTGGTGACAAGATATGCATTCAGTTACCTCCAACGATACCTAACGAAGTCGAATGCATGGCGCATCCCTTAGGGATTGATCAACGTCGAGAGCTTTATCCTTTATCCTCTTTACAGTAACTCGGTCAGCTTCGGTCTTTCTTGTGACCTCGGTCAGCTTCGGTCTTTCTCGTGCTTGAGGACCCTCGTCTTTCTTATGAATACCGATGAATGCTGGTCAAATCGATTCTCCCTGGAATCCTCGGATAGCCATGCTTTGGAAAGCTTCATTTGATACCGGACAAATCTAATAGAAAGCTCCCGACGTATTTTCAGTGAAGCCTTCAATTATGTTATACTTTCTCCATGATTACGGCTTTACGTCGTAACATAACCAGTCGGAAGTTCATCATCCAACGAGTTAAGTGACTTTGTAAAGTTTTACATTTCTACCAGGAAGTCCTTCAAAGAGTAAATAAACGTCATTCGTTAACTCCTTGGTAAAAATCTAAATGAAAAGATTCTGTAAGTTGGCTTTGATTCAAAATAAATGCGGAGTGCCTGTAGTGACTGAGTGAAAACAAAGATCTAGTAGAAGCTAAAAATGATCATTGAAATGGAAATTGTGGTGCAATCCGATCAGTGCAGACAAATATTCAATTATGCTAAGCCAAGATAAGTTGTAATGATAGTGCAGAAATTGAGAACGTTCTTTGCTTTCATGGCTTTTACAGTGTTAGGAATGTAACAGATATCCTCAATTTGGCAACGAACTCTGTAGTATTTTTGCACAAAATTATCGACAGATCAGGACAGGGCCTTTTTGAGTATTATGATGTTTTGAGTTTTCAGAAACTTCAACAAACAACATGAAAAGATCTGTCTCGAAAAATATCTGTCTTAGCGCTGATCCGAACCTGTCTCCTGAGGGCAGGTGTTCTTGCGACGACTATCAGTGGATTCAGCACAGGATCGACGAATGCAGCGATGCGAGCAAAGTGGTACCTGCGAAGTTCAAACTGAAGTCGATCAAATATCTATTTGTTGTACTGCTCTATCATCAACTGAAGATTTGGCTTATTGAGTAAAGGATTTACGTATCTCAATCATAATTAACCGTCACCTAAATGGCGGGACGTCAAAAGCATCCAAGTTGACTTTCCGTAACCAAAATGAACAGGAGTCATGAAGTTTTCATTTTCATTCTAAACGTAAAAATTACCATTTTGTAAGCGTTGCCACTTCTTCTCTGTCGTTCACCCAAAACACAGCGATTTCAATGTAGGTTTGACTTAAGACCGACAGAAAAAATGTCGCTATGGATAAAATTAGCGTGTGGAATAGCTTCTCTCGTCGCCGATGTGGAGACTGGTCTCTAAACAAAGAGAAAAAGCTATGAAAAACATCGGAAGTTTCATTTAACTTATCTGACTCATGAAATAGAAGACTATCTCGGAGAAGAGGAAGAAGATCTACGAAACTTCAGTAAGGATCTCTTTTCATAAAGTGTTAGTGAATGTGACAAACTTCATTTCGAAAAAAGGCCTGGGCGTAGGAATGAAGTCGAATTCATGGTGTCGTACTTTCAATATGCCTGAACGCCCAGCACAACTCATGAGTGCTGTCCGGCAGGTAACACTCGTAAGAGTGAAAACAAACATTACTTCACTTTATTCTCTTGTGAGTGTCCGTAGTCCATAATTAGCCTGGACGAACAAAAATGTTCAAATTTATTCTCCGCGTATTTTAAGCCATATTTGGAGGGAAACGGGCGCTCAGTTAATAAGGAAAATTTCTAAGTTTTCCATAGTAAGAAATGTGACTAGTCATTCTAGGGTCCTTAGAAGACTAGATCTCACTAATGAATGTGGGAAAGTCCAGTAAAGAGTAACATAATGAAATTAGCTACATAACAAGTCTTCTTTTCAACCCAATATAGTTTAGTCTCAATATTCTAAACGAAATCTGCCTCCCAAGATTCTCATTTTTTTCACTGGATGGTTATCAAGGCGAGAAATTTAAGGAATGAAATCACAGAACATTGAAGAATCTGGTTGTTTTAGGTCATCAGCAGGGTTTTGAGAAAATATCATTGTCAACCACATCGACAAGGGATGATCGACTTGTTCAATACCTTCACGACATCATCTTGCACTGTTGGACGATAACTCATCTAGTCAACTGCTTCGGTAACTGAGACACCAGCCCATTTAGAAACAGCGAAAAGGAGAAAGTTCCGTGCGCTCGAGAAAACCTTCTGTCTGGTTGTGAAAGCTCTGTAGATTCCACTAGTTCTTGTTTCATTTAATGAAGCTCACCATAAGCACAGATCTGGTTGCTTAAAGCTAATAGACGCAATTATTTTCGGACGCCACTTGCAATGTAATCAATGCATATCGTCGCAAATGTATTGAGCGCTGTTTGCTACAAGAAAGTTTACAAGGCACTTAATTCTGGTTTAAAAAATCAAGAAATTCTTGAGCGGACAAGAAACGCGCTATTGAGACTTCCAATAAACACCAGCACTTCTTTCGGTCAATATTTGTTCGACCAGTTTTCTACAGTATTCAGTACACCTCAAAAGAAGTAATACCCTTAATTTTGAACAAACTCACCGTAACCCGCTTTGCAAGAAATCGTGTTGTCTGCGAACACGGCAGTGATAAGCGACCGTAATCGTGAAGATCACAATAGAAGCGAATAGAAAAAACAATGTAAAAAGTGTATGACCACGCAGAAGATAAGCGCCAAACGCGTGGAACACTGCTGTACGATCACACTGGCTAGCAATCTCTGCATAATTGGATCGAACTGTTCTGAAAATCCGGAGATGTCTTAACGATCGTGGTTGAATGAAAATTCAGCTTGAAGTTTTTGACGTATCAGATACTCAAATAAAAAGGATAAAGCTCTCGGCGTTGATCAATCCCTGAGTGATGCGCCATGCATTCGACTTCAAGAAGCATCGTTTGGAGGTGATTGAATGGATATCTAGCCTTTACAAAGACTAGCAGTAGCCCACCGATGTGAGGAGCCAGTGCTGCTATCCTTCCAGACGACAAGTCTGGTACTAATTTGCTAACTCCGGAGGGTTGGAAGGCTTGGTGGGCCATGGGCGCGGGAATCGATTCCACGTGTATGTTGCAGATCGCTTCTGACCACTGCGCCACATATAAGATACTCAAATATTCTAACATTATTCTAAGGAAGTTGAGCCTTCAACATTATTTTAAGAAACTTGAGTATATAACAAAATGTGTGCTGCATACAAGTTTTCACATGTGTAAGTACTTTCAGTGGGCGATCATGAGTAACTAAGGAAAGGATATAGATGATGTTCATTTGATTTATTAAACATTATGAGTGGTACAGGCAAAATTCCTATGCGCTGATGTTCAAAGAGTAACTGTGTTTTCTTAAGGTAGGAGTAGAAATTTAAAAAAAAAAACAAGAAAGATAAACCTGAGAAAGGGATTGAACTGTGGGCATGCTCCAAAAAGCAACTGCAGAAAAAGCATTTTGTTCTAGTAACAGTAACTTACTGTTCACACTGAAGATATGTCTTGCCCTTTGAAAGAGTAGAAAAAAGCTCATCAAGATTCTGGATGGCGTTTACCTGCAAACACTGTGGATTTCGAGGAGAATGATTAGGATTGAAAAGTCTAAAACTCACCTGAAGGGTAGAAAAAAGGAGATGCGTTAGAATCAGAAATATCCAGACGCAGGAGAAAACAGAAATGACGGAAATTCGGGAGAGATGAATCGACTTCCCCGACATGGAACGATTTATCACCAACTAGAATTATTCGAAACCTTTATGCCTCAGCCACAAGAATGCTGAGAAATGTGCAAAAATCTGCCCAAAGTCCTGCTCATGTCTCAGCATCCTTGTAGTTGTATTTCATATAAGAATCTGTCAAGAAAAAAGAATGGGCAGTAAACATAAAAATTTAAGACTTATGCCTTAGTTAGATTTTCTGATTTTTAACTGAAGAATATACTGGGTCACTGAATTTTCTCATAGTTTCCTTAAGATGACAGAAATAATTGGATCATCTTCTAAGAGTGAAGAAACCGTCGTTGAAATTTGTCTTAGCATTTAATATAAGCCGTTCAGACACTAATTAAGGTTTTTAGTATGATGCTGAACGTCAAGAGTGTTTCAAAAATGAAGGGAAAGAAATGAGGTGTTCAAGTAAGCTATGAGCAATATTACACGAGGGAAAATGTTTCAAATCGTACCAGCACAAGAACGAGAAGATGAATGAGACCAGTGAGACTGCCGTTTTGAGCCAGGGAATACAATGTTTCCTGGATGAGGTGCTTCCTAAATCATAAAACTATGCAGTGAAGCTTGTCATATTATTTGACTATAAAAGGTTCATCCGAAAGCAATTCTTAAAAAAAGAAACGAAACAACAACAGAATAGGAGGCTTGCGAAACAAATCTTCACACCGGAACTCTTCCGAAGCGAACAGATGCGTCTGAAGCGTCTCCGCAACAACCAGTTCCGGTGACTTATCCAGGTACTGAATTCGTTTCGATTGATTTATCTTGTCACTTACTAATTATCTTCGCATATATAACCATAATGATGCTGAGATATTTGCAAAACTCCGGACCGCAGGTGTCTACGGTGGGGAACGAATGCGCTATTGTCCTTTCCGGGGAGTAGCGCGTTCACCACCACACTATGCGGGTCCTTTGTTTCGCCTGTATCTTAGTAAAATACCCTGCCATTAAAAAGAATAGGCAGTAAATAAAAAGGTTAAGATTGTGTTTATAACTATAACCACAGCTTAACTGAGTTCGTTGCCGATTTGGGCTCTCCAGATCAATTCCGCTGTCGGGTGATTTTCCTGATGGCAAAAGATCCATAGAACTAGCTAAGAGACAGGCAAAACGAAGGACCCACGTGGTGTGGTGGTGAACGCGCTACTCCCCGGAAAGGACAATAGCGCAATCGTTCCCCACCGTAGACACCTGCGGTCCGGAGTTTTGCAAATATCTCAACATCATTAAAAAAGATTTTAGCTTTTACAAAGCCCCTAGTCAAGAGACAACTCAGAAACCACTATGAGATCTTTCATGCTCAAGAATTTCTAGCTTATCATTTAAAAATTCATAAGCGAATATTTTTCTAAAATAGATTAAAACTGACATCCTCGTTCACACTCCCGTAAGGTCGATCGTTAAAAAGGTCACGCATGAAGAAAACGAATGAGCAGAAGAAAAGCAAGTTCGAGAACATAATGTTGAAGACAAATAGTACGGTAGCCGTAGAGAGACTCCTTTTTGTCTGAAAAAAAAACTGTAGGAAACCTCTTGTTACCAATTATGTGTTTGATAGACACTAACTTTGAGAAGTAGTAGTGTGAGGAAAATGGTGTTGAACACAACTAATCCGAGAAGACAAAGTTCGACGTAGAAACTCCGCCACGCCCTGCTTGACAAAGACCTGAAGATGAACTTAGTAGACCACTTTGCCGACTAGGAGGGTAATGAATTCACAGTCACTAACTGTATTATTAAAATTTTTCTGATGTTTGAGATTGTATTCTTGAATTATAGGAGCGCGTGTAGTGCAGTGGTGGGAGGAGCCCTGCAACACAGACGTGGAATCGATCCCCGCGCCCATGGTCCACCAAGCCTTCCATGCCTACGAGATTGGCAAATTGGTATCAGACTTGTCAAGGAGGATAGCAGCACTGGCTTGATACATCGGTAGGCCACCTCGAGTCAGGTCGGATATGCATTCAATCACCTCCAACGATACTTAATGAAGTCGAATGCATGGCGCATCCCTCAGGGATTGATCAACGTTGAGAGCTTTATTTTATATCCTTTATTAATAAATTAAACAGTTTTAATCACATAAGGATATGAAGATTCATGGTAGACTTATGTCTATTCCGAGGATATATGAAATCATTATAAGGCTCGAGCACAGGGGTAGAGATGCCATTCAATATGTAGAAGCCTATGTGGTTCGACGTTGGACCAACCAAGTGTTCTATCACTGCGAAGCCAGGAAGGTGGTACCAGACTCCTGCGGGAAGGAAACCGTTCACAGCGGCAAAGCCTGTCGACGGACGGCCTGTGGTGAAAAGATGGAAAGGCTCTAGTGGAGCCGTCGGGATATTCCGGAAAAAATAAAATCGATCGGCATTCAACGATACTTATGAAAAAAGAAGGGTTCTAAAGTGTAAGCCAAATTTACGCACGAAATCCAAGACCTCTGTGGACGATGGATTTGAGGAAACGCGTCGACTGAAAGAACTGGTGTGATTCGCATAATATATGGTGTAGGATCATATAAGAAAGTTAAAATTTCTCTCAATTATTAAAAGTATGGAACAACTATATTGCAGTAACTGCCACGACCGACTTTCTATTAACCTCGGCATTGATCAAGTGATAGTAACACCTCGCGTTTGCTCAACAAAAATACGAAGAAAACTATATTGCACTCACTGAGCTCCATATTAAAATGGATCTAGCGTGGAACGATTTCACAGGTGTTCGGTGACACGGATTTCACTTCTCCTTGGGGTGGATTTTAAGAAATTTAAAGTTTAAAGTTAGTCTAAATGACACACCGTGGTGAGCCAGAGCTATTAGCAAAACGCAGAACATTACTAACTTACGCCATCCAACACAGCAGGGAATTGCAAACTAAAGGTAATTTTACATAGTATCGTTGCACCATGAAGAGCGCGTTTGGCGTAGTGCTCGGAGGCGCCCTGCAACACACACAGCAGATCGGTCTCTGCGTCCGTGGCTCACCAAACCTTCCATTCCTCCGGAGTCGGAAAATTTGCACCAGACTTGTCTGGGAGGATAGCAGCAGTGGTTCAATACATCGGTAGGCCACCGCGAGTCGTAAAGGCCAGACATGCATTCAATCCCCTCCAACGATGCTTAGGTCGAATGCACGGCGCAACCCTCGGGGATTGATCAACGCCGAGATTTTTATCGTTTTTTTTATCGTTGCAGTACATAAAGTTCGAAAACTTTAGAAACTAAAATTTTTTTCAGGTTTTGAGAGAAGAAAGTTGGACTCAATACTGAATACAGCTTCCTTAATGTACATTTTCACGGAAGCGATTAAGGTGCAGAGAGATGTGATACAGTTCTTCCAACAACGTTTAACCCTATAACCTCGTCTTACGAGTCCACTATCGCTGGAAGCACCTTAAGAACGAACCTGAACTTTCGTTCGTTAGTCAGATAGCAGATATGCATATTGCTATGAGGGCAGCAGAAATGCGACACTTGGGCAGACACTCGTTCCGCTCTGAAAATAGAAGCTGTGGCAAAAGAAAATGGTTGTAATGGAGGAAAAGAAACGTACATAAATTTTACCAGGAAAGATGTAAGCTCTTTACTGTAATGTGGAAGCAAACATTTCTATTCACGAAAAACAGCAAAGCATTCACCATTTTTTGAAGTCTCTTTTCACATAAAGCCATCAAACCCTCTCGGTTTTCCTATCTAGAGGTCTACTGAACGAGTGAACATGGTGTTCGCAAATTGTTACTCATAATAAGCTTCTAATATTCCACAGTTAGGCGATAGTCGTGATTCGGTAGTGATGACGTTAGTTGAGGCGTGCGCGATTATTTGACTACCATTTTATGAAACCTCGACAGCTCTGTCAAAGTATCATGGAAGCCAGAAGGCGATACTTAAGTACTGCCTCATGCTGCATATAGTCTTTAGGTGCAAGCAACGTGGTCTGGCTCCCCTCGCTTCCTCTGTTTCGTTGATGGCAGCCGTTTCGTTGCGTTCCATTTCGATGATGATATTCCGCCTGCACCTGAATTAATAATGCTCTGACTACCTAGATCTGTTCCCACACAACACAGAGAAAATGTCGTCAATGTGTAGGTGGTGAGTTTTTCCAAATTTGGGACTTTTTCAGATTTCAGAAGAACTGTTTTGCTGAAATTATCATTTAGAGCTATACGTTGTTAAGCAATAAGTAGCCATCTACCAAAATACCAAAATTTGTTCTACCAACTTATTTAAAAGTCTGACCGTCTACAAATACATAAGTTTAAGGCGGTTAAATAGTGAATTTAGTGCACACGGTGAATTTTTCCCTAATTTTCAGCATGAATCTCACTTCCTAACTTGCTGAATCTGATTCCACAGTTTGATTGCTGCTAAGGAGAAATTCTGAAGAAGAAGGCGCGTTCGTAAAACCAGTGATGGAAGTTCAGAGTCAGAGTGGATGTTTGAGACCATACTCGAGCTGAAAATGAAATCATTCCTCAGTGGAAAAATGAGCACCGGGCAAAAGTAGTTTCCCATCTTCACTTTTTATTTAAATAAAATTTTTAGAAGTTCTAATGGAAAATCTTCGTAGACTAACGGTTCATCCGTCTCTAAGCACAAACTGCTTTAACCGCTAACCGTGCAACACGTCCCAATGTCATAAAGCTTCCACCTATCACCTTTTAAGAACATATCCTTCAAAAATTGCATCCGTGCACGTAATGTCGATAACCAGCAAGTCGACACCTCGGCAACTCAATTCATTTCTAGTAACAGGTGTGAAGTCTACTGGGTCGATAGTGCGCGTTTCGACGGTGTCCGCAAGCGTGAGTTCGCCAACTAGCGCTTGATATCACCCAGATGACCAATGACCATTTAACAGTGCGTATAAACGACGACCGATGGACAGGAGCCGTTAGTGACTGGATTCTCGGGGATGTCAAACGTACTGCAGGAAGACCACTGACCCGATGGACAGAGTTTTTCACGAAGAGCCTAGAAGAAAGATATGACGCTCGATGAGTCCCTAGAGCCAGCAGAACTCACTGGGCTACCCTTGTACGCGACAAGGAAAAATGAAAGATTTACTGACGCCCGCTCGAGTCATTCGATGATCAAAAGGATCACAGGTGGTACAGGTAAACAGCTCTTTGTCATCAACGCATTTTTGCCCTCTACGATCTCTGTGCCTTTCAAGATTCGTGTTTTCAACAGAGGAGCGCAAGGCTTAGCGAAACGAGGTGGACTCCAGTGAGAGATGCTCGCCCAATGTCTGGATGACAGCGGTGATGAGCTGCTGGCTAGAAGAAACCTCCTCACGATCCACTTTTTGTATATTTTGCCTCTTTTTATTGCAAGCGCGCGTGGTTTTATATATGCAGTGAAAACCTTTGGTTTTGCACTACATAGGTTCGATTTTGGTTTACCTAAAAGACTACTTGGAATTAGAAGACATTTTTCCGAAGTAATGGATTCATTTTCAGCCAACCTTGTACTAAGACATTTTCCAAATAGATAAGGAAAAAAGCATACTTACTTACTTGATACTTGAATGACCCACCCTCACTGGGTGTGCGAGCCCCAGCATAATTTCCGTTTTTCGGAGGTTTGCTGGTTAAGCCATTGTGGTTCCTGGATTTCTGAGGACACCCAGGCCAAAGTCTGCCCCAGGCCGTTACCACGACAGGCAGTCGCAGCCCTTGTTGATCAGAGGGAGATTTGCCACCATGTGACTAGTTTCATACCAGGATGGTGGTGGATCCTGGTATTCGTTTACTCTCAGCTGGTCTTTTTGATGGAAATGCCAGACTTCTTCTCAGCTTGACAGACCCTGCCACAGGGATGAATCCCTTCGTTGAACATCGCAACCTGACACCCAGGAACACCTCCCAGCCACGATGAAGCCGTGAGAGGCATAAGAAGAAAGCATACCTGAGCAAATTCATGAAAAGGACGTCTTCAGAGAGCGCGAAACCCATATTGGAAACTGCCTGAAAGCACTTGCATTATTTCCAAAAAGGTCCCATTATGACGAAAATTTAGGTGCCATTATATGACGTATGGGATCTGTGGGAAAAGGTCCCATTAAATAGCTATTCTTATTTGCGCGACCTCTATAGGTTTGTTTGCAAAACGGAAAGAAATATTACGAGCACTTTAATCTCTCCAGGGTTCAACACTATAGTACACCCTACCCCAGATAACTGAAGTGAAAAAAGTTTTTCCTACACCTTCCTATGTCTACTTTGTTAACAATTCTACTAACTAACAACCGAAAAGTAGTCATCGGATTCTAATTACGGAGCTGAAGTAAAATAAGGGCTGTTTTCAATGTTCAATGACTTTATTTGAAATTGTACAGTTTCTTGAAAAAACATGAGAAATTTCTGTAATGCAACAGAAGTCAGACTCACCAGCGAATTGTTAACGAAACTGGAGAAATTGCCGCAATGGCGTGAGAAACGCTGGAAGAAAGACGGAAACTTCAACAACGGTGTGGTTGTGCCGAAACAGCGCTAAAATTGGACCGTTTCTACAACCGTTTTTTATCTAAAAAAAATAAGACTTTTAAGTAATTATCCAGGTAATAGCCTAACTAGTTCCAAATAATCGTTCTTTCTTTATTCGTTTAGTCTTTCTATATAACCATTGTTTGAGGTTTTCATGAGAGAATAGGAATTGTCACCGAAGATGAATACGGGATAGGAAAATCACCAAGAGGAGATCGAAATGAAAATGGAGAGCGTTTTGCAGGATAATCCTATTTCAGCACACCTAAAACGATCGGTAATAAATGCCAGCTGTAGAAGATCTTTGCAGGAGAATTTACATCGGCACATGCAGTAAGAATTATTGGAAGCCTCTCTAAAAAGATAAACTCCGAAGTGTCGTCGGGGTCTTTTACGACTATAACGTTCCGCTATCCACTCTGATGAACGAAAGTGGGACTATCACCATATCACGTCATAAGATGGAGTCGACAATGAAAAGTTCTGTAGCATTCCTCTACTTTTCACAATTTCCGTCCCGGACCCCGAATCCACCACTGGAGAAAAACTTCCAGGACTCTGCCGCTTGAAATTTCAGCTGCGATAGAAAGCATGAAGAGAGGTACGGTCCCAAGACCCGAAAAACCACCGGCGACTTTCCTAGAGCTGGAGGCTACAACATGTACTTCTCGAAAAAAATTGCGTCCTACCTTCAAATGAACCGCAGACGAGTGGAGGAATTGCGCACCGTCATCCTGCCTTAGAAAGATGACCGAAGGAAACTTTGTAACTGTCACCCGACAAATTCTTCGATTATAAAGGAAAACAAATCTGATAAAAAGGTCTATTCGGCTAACGATTTGACCTCGTCTCATTCTCAGAGCCGCGATGACACGAGTCGATGGTCTGGTGGTCGTCCACGCAATGTGATTGTTCGTTTTCGCATCGAGTCTAGTGAAGTGAAGCAAAGCTCGAATGAAACAAACTCACTAATCCATGCCTTCCTATATAGGATAGATGTCGATCGAAGAAGGCACCGATTAATTTTCCACATAGAAATGATGACCATAAATAGTGAGATTTAAACCACTTTCGTTTTGGCATCATATCTGTGTCTTAAGATGTTATTCAGTTTTGACCATTCCACTACCTACGATGGTTCTATAGATGGAAGAGACGAATTTATTCCACTTATTCAACTACAAAACTTTCTCTTTGATTTGATACATACTGGGTTTTACAAAACTGTCTCCTTATTTGTTTGGATTTCTTGTGCAAGCCGAGAATTTCCTGCGACTGTTCCTAACTTCGTCGTGACTAAAGGTGTTTATCGGTTTCCAACTGCTACGTCCCATGGTGTTCCTTCTGGATGTACACCTCAAGAATTCAATATTTTCGTCTAGAAAGTAAGATCCACGGAAAAGCTTACGCCATCAATCACTACTGGGGTAGAATAAACATACTCGTCAAGCAAACAACCCTCCGAGTTACAAGGGGCAGAGCTGCCCGCTCTGATCTGAAACGCTTTGCCATGATCATCTTGGTATTTTGAGAAAAATCGGAGATCTTAACCTTTTTATTTACTGTCTACTATAATTTTCAACGGCAGCGTATAACGTGAAATACAACCAAGATAATGCTGAGATATTGGGAAAACTCCAGACTGCAGGCGTCTGCGGTGGGGAACGAACGTACTATTGTCCTTTCCGAGGAGTAACGCGTTGACCACCACAGCATACGGGTCCTTCGTTTCGTCTGTCTCTCAGCTAGTTCTACTGATCGGCGTTCCCCACCGCAGATACCACCTGTGGACCAGAGTTTTGCCAATATCTCAGCAAAAATCGGAGATTTCTTAATGTTGGAAAATCCAAATCTATAAGTATCCAAATAGAAAATTATTTAACGGCCTCAAGATACAGATTGGGACTTTAGCTAAGCAACTTCTCATTAGCGGTTTTCTTAGTCATTATCTCCATCTCTTAGCAATAGAGTCACCTCGCGCATTTTTCGTTGTCGTTGTTCGACATGCGGAACATAGCACCTGCTGTAGAGATCAGAGTAGACGTCAGAGATTCTCTGGCAAATTTGCCTAAAAAAATTGTCTAGTGGTAGTAGACAGACAGCAACAATAGAATAGATATTGAATAATGCAAATGACACAGATATAAATGGATGAATACTAGTGTAAAAAGAATTTGAAGCTGGAATGATTTTCTTATCCGCTTCTACCCCTATATTCCGTTCCCAGCCAAACATAAGCTTCAGTAATTCTTAAGAACTAATGAAGAAAAGCAGCACTCACATTCTGTCGGGGTTGTTCCGTTCATACAACGTTTTGAATAGGGATGAATAAATGTACAGATTGAAATGCTCTCGTTCATAGACCAGTCGGCCTTTGTCACAAATCTTAACAGGGTAAGTTTTGGCTATTATTCCTTCAACACAAAAAAGCAGTTTTATCCAACAAGCGAGCAAACTGTTCCTAGTTTCGAATCCTCTTGTGTTGCTTCACTTATATTGTATTCTCTTAGTTGTGACTCGAAAAAAGAACAAAAAAGGAACTTTGAAAAGGTCGGAAAGGATTTTTGCGATCCTGGAAAAAAAAATTCCGAGAACTGTAAAAGTTTAAAAGGATCTGTCCTTTTCAATTCAACAATTATTCTCGTCGTCTGTAAGCAGTCTTTAAAGCTCCGATGTTTAACTGCACTAGAAACTACTTAAGAAGTGAACAAAGATACTTAAATACTTAATAGATAGTGTATGATGTAGCCACCAAAGTGATATTTAGTTTTCTTTTTATTTAACCTGTTCGGCCTACAAAAGCGATGCGCCGTGCATTCGAATTTATCCAATATCTATCATTGCAGGAGCTGGCCTTTACAATGACTCGCGGTGGCCTATCGATGTATCGACCCAGTGCTGCTATCCTCCCAGACAAGTTTGGTACCAATTTGCCGACCTCGGAGGGATGGAAGACATGGTGGGCCATGGGCGCAGAGATCGATTTCATGTGTGTGCTGCAGGGCGAGGCGCTCCTCCGACCACTGCGCCACAGGCACCCTGCGACATAGGGGCTTACAGTTCGAACTTTAGGTGACAAGCTACTTTAATTTGCTGTTCAAAATGGCATGCATATCATTAACTCACTAAGGCATAAGCGTACTTGAGGAAACTCTTTTGGAATTCACGATGATAGGTATGAGCGTAGCGGCTGTAGGCGAATAACTGATTCACTTCGCAGAATCTGAATCGGAGTCCCGTTGCTTAAAAGATTAAGCTGTACACATGCAAAGGTATAATTATTGATTATGTTTGGTTCGAACTTTTTCATTGAATGAAAAGAACATTGAAATCGCTCATTTGAGCATTTGACTGTATACAAGAAAGTATTGAAGTGTACAGAACGCAAAGAAGGATGAAGGTGAAGTGTTTTGCTCTAATCAATCCCTCAGCAGTGCGCCACGAATTTGATTCCTTTCAGCATCGCTCACATTATTCAACATTACAATAACTTAAGGCTCACCAATGGATAAATTAAGTATTTTTATCCTTTTAGCCTTCAACCACATAAACATAGTGCACGGAAAACGCACACCTAAGATGTTGACCATAAAAAGATATTTGCTCTGCTGATCGTTAATGGATCATGCAGAGAAAAACGTCGCCGTACAATCATGAAATTGTAACTATTAATATTTCGAAACCAACTTTCCTTGAACCTCGGTATCACTAATCAATACGTGTTCTTTCTTTGATGAGCTTACACGAGGTTGATAATAATGTTTATTTTCAGCTAACGTTTCGATATCTTCGTCTTCCTCAGAGCCGATGATCCAAGTCGACTGTCCTCTCTTGATCCGGTCGTCCTCGACGCTTGTCCTGCTCCTCCTTGATCGAGGACCGAGGACAGGAGGGCTCTGAGGAAGACGAAGACGTCGAAACGTTAGCCGAAAATAAACATCATTATCAACCTCATGTAAGCCCATCAAAGAAAGAATACATATTGTAACTATTCAGTTACTTTACGGCTTAATATGCTACTTTTGCGTTGAACAGCGAAGCCTGCCTATGATCGCTTTTGTTATACCTCAGTTAGGTCAAAGATCTTTTTTTAAGTCAACAAAAGCGTGACAGAGCAATACCTTTACTCTAACGAAAGTTCAATAAGTGCCGTTATTGAGCAGATCATATTTTATGGCAGCCCCGTCTACTGCTCTGTGAAACCCGTTTAGGGAGACTTGACTGAAAAGTGAGTAGACGACAGATAGCAAGCAGATCGAGTGAGAGCGGAAGATGTTGTACGGGTCTTCTTTCTTGTGTAACAACACTGTCCTGATAGAACCTGGAAGCTTTCTGTTCTAGTAGGCAACATGTAAAAAGTTAAACTAGCTTGTTGCTGGGAAACTGGTGAAAGGTGTTTCAAGATTCGGGACTAATCATGTGCGGATCGGGTATAGCATAGCTCTTCGCCGACAAGATAGCACGTCGGACGTAAGAACCAGAAAACGGCTGAGACGACCTATTCATCCTCTTGTAGTTGCTGTAGAGGCAGATGAACATGGCTGATGAAAAAAAAGAAAAGAAGCCAGAGACACTTTCTTGACTTCATTTCCAGAAATAGTGACTGTTTGCTTTCCGCGCCGCAAAGATATCATTTTAATGTTCTTGGCCACAAAAGCTTCTCAGTGACTTCTAAACTCTCAGCTTCTTAACAAGATAGTAAACACGTTCAAAAAGCGGCTCTTATTGCTCATCAACGCCTTTTTCATTTCTGCAGCAGCAGGCTAATAAAATGAACAAATCTAATTCTGCGACAGTTTAAGCATTTCCCTTCCAGGATATTCCGGCCTTGTCCTCTTTTGAAGAAAGATGTGATTCCGCTTGAAAGACTGGATGTTCTCATTTCGTGTAAGATCTTACGACAAGAAGGACATCAGTAGGGAAAAAATTTTTGTTTGTCGGGTATGTAGTTATAATAGGGTCCACTGGAAGGTTCCCATTTAAATGTTGAGTGCGAATTCTAGAAATCTAAACAGATCTTTTGGGACCAGAAAAAGCGGCCTATTAATTTTACTCGCCTTCACGACTAGTATTTATGGATGCAATCCCGGCTATTGCGTGGGCACTCCATATATTCGAGGATAGCTTGCCGATCTCTCCCAGAGAAGATAAGCTCATTGTTTCGAGGCGACTACTGACCACCTTGTTCGTACTTCCCAGTTACTCGACTGCCCGTGGACCGACATGCAGGATACAATCTTCACAGACGCAAATACATCCACGATTACATGCATGAATATATACTTGTAGTACACACGTGTCAATCCAGCATAAAAATAAAGCGTAGAGCTCAGAGTTGATCAATCCTTGAGGGAGACCTCTTGCACTCGACTTCATTACGCATCGTTTGGAGGTGATTGAATTCATATCTGGCCTTTATAGTGACTCGTAGTGGTTTACCATGTATCGAGCCAGTGTTGCTATTCACCCAGACAAGTCTGGTAGCAATTTGCTGAGCCCGGAGGGATGGAAGGCTTGGTGGGCCTTGGGCGTAGGGAATGATCCCACGTGTTTGGTGCAGGGTCCTCTGACCACTGTGCTATACGCGCTCACTAATCCACCATTTCAGTGAAAATTAATGCATAACCTAGAGGCATAATGACAAACAGTTGATCTCAGTTTCCATCAAGTCCATTTCATAATGAAGATTTCAAACAGTAGGCGAAAAAAATTATTATGATAAGTACCATGTGAGTTGTCAAAATTATAGCACATCTGAAATTGATTTCTATTTCCATTAAATGTATTTCATCGTTACGACAGTAAAGATCGTCTCACCTTAATGATCGCATCAACCACACTAGTCCTTGATCCTTCTTTGGAACAAATTTCGCAAAGTCCGGATAACACAACACATACTTTTCCATATAAAACGCGATCTAAAAAAAGTCTCTTGATCTTTTGGAAAAGAATCTATACAGACTATTCTTTATCTCACAGAGAACATTTTTTATCTAGTTCGCCAAATCACAGCTGTGCTTTCCTTCGAAAAAATGATATCATTGCTTACCCCTCCCCAATTGTCAATCATAGACTTTATTTGCTTGCTTTCACAAAAAAAGTATAATTACTCAAGTTTGAGGTCCGTACTGTGACATCACAAAAGAGTCTAGCGTGCCAAATCACAAGTGCTCTAGAGAATCTCTATTGAAATAGCCAATTGAAAACCGAGAAAAAAATGTTTCGACTTCTCTTTGAAAGAGAAAGTGTAGAAATCTCTAAATTGCACATAGCGACCTGGAAGATTTTTAAATGTCATGTAGCTACCAACACATTACACTGGAAATGAACTTTAGATCCGGTTAGTGAAAAAAGTAGCTGAGAATATAAGACATACCGAACAAAAAAAAACGAGGCTTTCGACTTCACTGACCACTCCAACTTTCAAAATTTATGTTTTTATTAATTCCATACTCAATGTTTCATTTAAAAGCGAGGAAACAGTCAAAAGAAGCTAAAATCCAAAAAAATGTGACAACCACAACGGTGTTGAGATATTCGCAAAACTTGGAGGTCCAGATCGAACCATTATTACCCTTGCCGGGTAGCCCCGCTGCACCATGGAAGCCCATGCTTTACGTTTCTCTCAGTTAGTTTTCTACTTAACGCTGTCATCAGGAATCACTCTTTAGCGGGATTGACCTTCGGAGCACCAATCGGCATCGAATCCTGTTAAGCCGATGTTGTAGTCGAAATCACAATGTTAACCATTTACTTTCTGCCTACTACAATTTTTTACGGAAGGGTCTGATGTGTAATACAACCGCAACCTAGAATTGTAGTAAGCAGAAAATAGAAGGTTAACATTGTGACTTCGACTACAGCCTCAGCTTAACTAGGTTCAATGTCAATTTGTGCTCCTCAGATCAATCTTACTGACGGGTGATTGCTGGTGGTAGCATTAGGTAGTAAACTAGCTAAGAGAAATGCGGGCCGAGGGCTTCCCTGGCAGAGTGTGTATTGCGCAAGTTCCTGGAAAAGTAAACCGTGGTTCTATCAGGCCCGGGGTTCAAGTTTCGCGAATATCTCAGCATCGTTGTGGCTGAATTTTACATCACGCCCTGCCGTAAGAATTATAGTGGGCAGCAAATAAAAGGTTAGCAAAAATGTGCCAATTCGACACGTTGCTGACAGCATAGGTAGATGTTTCGAAAATCAAAAAACTTCGTTATTCTTCAATCACCTTGGAATTGAAATATCGGTGATATGCTAGTATGACTTTATATGAGACTGTTAGTAAAAAAATCCAAAGCTCTAAGGAAACATCAACCCCAACTGGAATTGCACCAGCTTTTGTACAAGACTAGCCCGTGTCACGGCCATGAAGGCTGATATCTGAACAACTGGTTGTGTAAGCCTAATCAGCAGAAAATTTCGCACACGGTTGGGCACAGAACGCTCACTAGTCGTTCACAAGCAGCTCAACGCTCTGCAGAGAACATGGTCATCGTATGGTAACAAAGAATGGGAATCTTTTGCGATATTTGCAGTTATTAGCTAGGGTCATTTAGGTTAGTAGAAAACGTAGAGAGCACACGCAACTTATCCCCACCTCTTTATGCCCACTTTACTTACACCTCGAACAGATTTTCGTTTACAAAAAACGATAACTGTTGAAAAAGCCTTTAAAATGTGACCTATTCTTGGAAAAAACACCGATATTCCTGCCAAGCATTGTTGTAACTGCGCAGTATGTGCGAATTTATTCTTCACAAATTGTCGATGTGAGGAAAGGAGCTTATTAAAGGGGCGTAATGCTGTTAAACTAAACCATAATCAGCCTCCGACCTCGGCTCATGAAATAACTTACATTAATAAAACAACATCAAATATCGACGCACCATAACTGCAGCATTAAGAGAAGAAAATACTCTCGGCTTTAAACAATACTCCAATAAAAATCGGACAAAAACCGTTTAACGTCTGGCTGAGTAAAAAGTGGAGAGAAACAAACTTTGCTCAATTATTTTCCTTCAATAGAGTGAAAATCAATGCAAATTACGACGTGCAGTCATAGATCTAATCAGAGAGAGGAGCAACATCTACAGTAAGCCTACTTAGAAGCAAAGAAAGCAATTAAGAAAGCCAAAAATGTCAGGCAGGCAAGGCGGAGATCAGCGCACAAGGCGGTACAAAATCCTAGGAGTCTGACCATGGCAAAAGAGTGAAAAACGTGAACTCTATTCCGCTGGACGATTTAACTAGGTAACAGAAAAATAGATGACCGTTTTCGTTTTTCCGCGGATTGTCCACTCAAAAACAAAATATGATCAACGGGTAGCTTAAAAGACCAACTTTCTACAAACCTTGGCGTAAATAATCAGTATTTTTATATGTTTTTATGAACTGATTTTCTTGAACTGATGCGAGGTCGGTACAAATTTTCGTTGTTGTTGCTGTTGTTGCTGTTCTCGTTGTCGCCGTTCAACTCTAAGATAGGACCAGTCTCACTAGTAACAGCACGGCTCTTGGGAAGGCGAAATCGCCGAAACGTTAGCCTTCGACAGAAAACAACAACGACAACTTATAGCAAACTCGCATCACTCAACAAGATCAGTTTATGAGAAGATATAAATAAATATATATCAATGAATAGTCATGTCAACAAAAAGTGTCTTGTATAAAAGAGCGCTGCCGGGTAAGAGCCTCATTCGAGCGGTGCCACTAAAGAAGATCCGACGCGATACGAGGACGAAGACGCCACATCGAGAAGACGAACAACTGTGGACAATCGACTCGGATCATCGACTCTAATAAAGACGAAGACGTCGAAACGTTAGCCCAATAAATATCTCTGTAAACCTCGTATAAGCTCAACAATATAAACACATTTATATTAACCTTGGGTTAGCTTAACAATTCAAGAAGGTATGGCTAATAGAGTTGGAAAGTTCTCATTCTGCTATCCACGCCAATTTAAAAATAAATGGTTCTTTGCTATGAATGCAAGGGAAAAAAATGAAATCAATAGCTGAGTGAAAGTCATACTCGTGAGAATTTGCTAAAAAATTAAATATTTTCTGAAAAGCTACCACTACACAACACATTTTCACAGTAACTACAAATCCTCACGAAGTGCTAGAAGTTATTTGAACGTCGTTGTTATTATACTCATTGACAGAGCTGCTCATTTTATTTCAGTTCGGAACACTCAAGTTTCTTAGACGTTAAGGCATAAAAGGACAAAGCTCTCGGAGTTGATCAATCAATGATTGAATGCATATAAGGCCTTTACCATAACCTATGGATCCAGCTAGCGATGCTATCCTCCCAGACGAGTCTGATACCAATTTGCTAACCCCGGAGGGATTGAAGGCTTGGTGGGTCATGGGCGTGGGGAGCGATCTCATGTGTGTTGCAAGGTGCTTCCGACCACTGCGCCACACAGGCCCCGTCTTAGACGTTATGTGATTAATCAAAACCGTTTGAGTATTAAGAGTGTTCTAAACGAGAAACTGACGAGCTTCTGAAGAGCTACCTCAAGCTTTCCTAATAACTGAGAAGCTTTTTTTCCTTAAAATATTACAAGCGTAGAGCATTAGCGTCCAGATAGCTGCTTGATTTCGTGCTGCAGAATTCTATCCAGGTTCCTCCTTCAAATATTCCTGAGAGGTGTTTCATCACTTACAAAAATAATGCGGCGGAACGAAAATTCACTACTGCTTCCAAAATTATTTCGTTCAAAAACTTCCTTTTACCTATAGCTCACTCTTTTTTCCCAAAAGTACTTCACAGTATTTCTGCCCCCGTATATTTTTTAAGATTTTTCAAATCCATTGTCTCATCACCGTCAGAAAAATTCTCATCCATAAAATATAATTCCACATACCCTTGACTGATCAGGTCTGAGAAGAATGATGTCATCCATTTCATTAGTACAGAGTTCGTAGATCTTAGAGCTCTCGTTGAAGGGTGGTAACCAGTCATTGAAATCCTGAGAGATTACGATTGTGATGAGCCCAGCTAGCCCAACCAACTGGCTCATCTAATCAACGAGGTTTGTTCAATATCCTGAACTGACGTCTACTAATTGAACCTGATAAGAAGACAATAATAGAACTATTTCGAATAGGAGTATATGCCTACATAACGCGATATTAGCAATATATTAACGGCTTTCTGTCACGGGCATTAAGGAACAATTAAATGCAGTATGTGACGAACTTGGAAATGTTAATAAGAGAGATTAGTGGAAAATTTGTACTCCGTTCTTGGACACAAGCGCTCCGAATAAATTGCTTAGACTACGAATTGTTTGCTTCCATATCATTTATTTTGTTGCTAACTCAGTGACTTCAAAGAGGTCTTAAGACAAAAACACGATTCTTCGGAAAGTTTTGAAAAATATTGCCGAGAGTTTCAATCAATATCGACCAAATTGAACAGTGAAAGTGTATGGGGTGGGCCGCATGAAGATCAACAATAATGTCTTTACAAATAAAAAATCGTTTTTAATAAACATAGAGAGAAAATACTTCCAAAGATTTACCGCCTCATTGTGACTGGAAGGTGTTCCTGGGTGTCGGGCTGCGATGTACAGCGAGAGGACTCGTCACCCCACAGGATCTCCCAAACTGAGGAGGGGTCAGGCGTTTTCATCAGAAAGCATAGCTAAGAGTAAACCAGTATCAGGATCGACCACCGTCCTGGTATCAAACTAGTTGCAAGATGGAAAATCTCCTTCTGATACACAAAGGATATGGTTACCTGTGGTGACGACCTGGGAAGACTTTGGCCAGGCTGACCTCGGGACTCCAGGGAAATACAGTGGCTAAGCCAGCAAAACTTCAAGAAAATGGGATTATGTTGGAGTCCGCACAACTATTGAGGACTGTCGTCCAAATATCCAAGTAGGTAAGAGCGAAAATATATCTAGACACCTTCGTGGATTTGTGTTCAAATCCAGCGTTCATATTAACTGATATTGATATCAATCTTGTGTTAGGTCAATAATCCAGAAAGTAGTTAATTATTAATGTCAAGCATGAGTGTTTTTGGCTTGAAAAATGTCTATAGATAGTTTATTTATTC